TGTCTTTTGATATGAGATTATTTAAGAAAAAATACCCCTTACACGTTGTATCTCATTTACTTCCGTAAACACTGCTGCGTGTCGCCCGACGTCCTTGTTTGTGCGCATGCGTGTTATTTGACGGACGCGTTCAGTTAACGAGAGGACGCAGTTGTTTTCTAACTGTGAACGAGTACACTAAAAACAGTGGATTCAACAATAAAAGCGGATTTGGGCATCACGCCTGTCGTGTGAATGTAGCCTGACTCACCGCGACGTCCAGCTACCAGGATGAGCACATGTAAATGTCATTCTGCACCTCGCCCGTATTTCCGCTGATTGCATTCAATTCCACAGCAAATAACACGATTGCAGAATCGCAAATTCCTGCGTGGACACTTCAGTGCTTCAACTTCTTGATAATTACAGTATTTCCTGAAATTACTCACCATCTACTTCATAGGACAAATAAATGCCTCCCGCAATAAATGGTTAACTGCTTAGCCAATTTGCACTCCGCTTCTTAAAAGATGATCTTATGTAATGTGGATACAGAGCTGAGTGTATAAATGTCCGCGTCCACCACATGAGGAAATATGGTAAACAAGCATGCACTTGCATGACAGAAATAATGCCTCACCTTCAGCAGGGACGTTTTATCACAAGGCTAAAAAAAGTGCTGAAGAGGACATGCAAGAAAAGCATGGAAAGACCATTCCGATCAGATGAGATTTTTATTCCAGGTAGAAACTGTGTAACCTGGAGATTCACATGATTTATTACTGTGTACCTCTGTTGCTTTCACGCAAGGCACGCTCAACCGGGGAGAAATTAAATACGTTGATTTTATGCAGCTCACGTGCACCTCTTCAGGGTTCAGAACAGCTGCTGGGGTTTTGATTATGTTTGGAAGCAAAGTCAATAAAATGTGATCAAAACACGCAGTTAGAAATATATGAGGTTTTGAGTGAAGGCCGAAAGGTCCACACATGTGGACGCCAGGTCCCAGGAGGTTAAAGGGTTACAACTGTACTCTAAATCAAATGTTTTTAAAGGTTTTGTCAAAAAACAAAGACAAAAAAAACTTGAAACATGACTCATTGCACTTTTGAAGCGAGGAGGACAGGCCCCAAAGAAATGATTTATTGTGATGAAAATTAGTTTTCACGTCTGAGTTACCAAATAAAGTTTAAAAGTAGCTAGATAAATATTGGGGTGAAAAACTGCTTGAGCCTGAAAAAGCTGTCAAATATAGCAAATAAAAGTACAAAGTTGTCACCACTGGAGAGAACACGTTAAAATGTTTTTTTTTTCCTGCCGAACTCAACACCAGGACTTTTACATTTACAACATTATGTACTGATTAGACACTAACAACTTAAAATATATGCTCATGGGCCATCACAATGTGTCCCACCAGGAATTCTCCAATTTTGTTTCTAAAAAGTAGAAAATCAGGTTGCATGAATAGCAGCAGGTCAAATGCATCTGTAAGAAACGTCATTTGAATGACATTGAAGCTATGACAGAAAATGTCACAACTACTTACTTGCTTATGCACTGTCTCAAATTTACAGTGGGCAGGTGATTGATGTACACGCTTGAGGGTCTGACACTGAAAAAAATGGAGGAACACCTGTGTGTACTCCGTCGCAAACGCCTTGTACTGACAGTATCTTTGTCGCTGTTGTGAAATTAGACCATTTAGCATGCAAAGTCTGTTGGACGGTTGCCCACATTCCCTTGCTATTACAGTCACCTGATCCATGTTTCTTTTCATGGCTCCTCTTTTGCGAATCGTGAGGCCTTTAGTGCATGTCTAGGAGGCACAAGATGTTATAACTGTTAGCACGGTAACAATATCCATGTTAATATAATTCTACTGGTCAAAATAAACCTCCAACAAATCTCACAAATCCTGGGTTACATGGAGTAATGTAAGAGCAAGGTTGCTTCTTTTATTAAAAAAGTGATATGTGTGATTGTCTCAAAAGAGAACATGGGTTAGAAATTTGCACTGAGTAGAGGACACTCCCTAAAAACAGGCAACACAATGGGATATGGTGGAACAGAGCACACATTTATAAGGTGAAGACACAAAAACAAGGTCAGAAAGGGAGGATTACAACACTCTTGAGGGCTTTGACACAAAGTGCGCTTGTTAGGGGAAATTGAACTGTCATCACGATCAGTTAGTGAGGGTTCAAAGTTGAGGGTTCACACAGGGTTCACGCTTTACCCTGATACAGGCGCTGCAGTGCTCAGTCACATTCCTGCAGGTGGTATCGCTAGCGGGAATGACGTTCACGTTCCGCAACGACTCGACACTCCCGTTCAGACAGGCGAGTTCCTCCAAGACACACAGTTGCAATTATTATTATTCTCACTGCTCCTTTAATTGGGGGGCCTAATTTGCCCTGGCTCTAGGCTTAAAAAAAAAAAAAAAAAAAAAAAAAACTATTGCAGACACGCCAGAGAATGGATGAAGATGCAAAGCTTCTCATCAAATGTAAACAATCTGAATACACAGTCTGGATTTAGTGTAAAGGGTCCTTATTTTTCTGAAAGACTTATAAGGGATATTAATGGAAGAGCATATAAAGTTAGTTGTCCCAGGAATCTGCATAGAAAAATTGTTGATTCCACGGAGAACAATACTGAGTCTGCAGAGAACAAATCTTGATTCCGCGGCTTGAAAGTTGATTTTCGGCAGGCATTAAAAAATGACCTAAAATGACCAGTTAAGAGGAAATTATCTGTAAAACCAAAACGATGTGGAAGATCATGGTGGTAAAATAACCAATAGTGTTCTCTTTGTCCCTCTAAAGACGTGTATGTTTAATAATTAATCACAATATATTTTATTTTCATGACTTATAATGTGCAAAACATTTCACCAAACTTTGGGTTTGAGGCAGAACAGAGCAAGTGATATTAAAGCTAAGATTTAAAGTGTAAACTAGCCACTTGACCCGGATATTGTAAACATGTTGCATACAGTATGATAATGAATGTAATTCAACCACAGACGGTTCGTTTATTACGGGCAATGACGTGACGTCAGATTTGCAGACGTCTCCGTAACATGACATCATCTTTACTCGACGTCTTCATGAAATGAAGAGAAACAAAAGTGTCGCCTCGTTTACCCATCACAGTTCCACCACCTCCCACGTGTTGTCTTTTGATATGAGATTATTTAAGAAAAAATACCCCTTACACGTTGTATCTCATTTACTTCCGTAAACACTGCTGCGTGTCGCCCGACGTCCTTGTTTGTGCGCATGCGTGTTATTTGACGGACGCGTTCAGTTAACGAGAGGACGCAGTTGTTTTCTAACTGTGAACGAGTACACTAAAAACAGTGGATTCAACAATAAAAGCGGATTTGGGCATCACGCCTGTCGTGTGAATGTAGCCTGACTCACCGCGACGTCCAGCTACCAGGATGAGCACATGTAAATGTCATTCTGCACCTCGCCCGTATTTCCGCTGATTGCATTCAATTCCGCAGCAAATAACACGATTGCGGAATCGCAAATTCCTGCGTGGACACTTCAGTGCTTCAACTTCTTGATAATTACAGTATTTCCTGAAATTACTCACCATCTACTTCATAGGACAAATAAATGCCTCCCGCAATAAATGGTTAACTGCTTAGCCAATTTGCACTCCGCTTCTTAAAAGATGATCTTATGTAATGTGGATACAGAGCTGAGTGTATAAATGTCCGCGTCCACCACATGAGGAAATATGGTAAACAAGCATGCACTTGCATGACAGAAATAATGCCTCACCTTCAGCAGGGACGTTTTATCACAAGGCTAAAAAAAGTGCTGAAGAGGACATGCAAGAAAAGCATGGAAAGACCATTCCGATCAGATGAGATTTTTATTCCAGGTAGAAACTGTGTAACCTGGAGATTCACATGATTTATTACTGTGTACCTCTGTTGCTTTCACGCAAGGCACGCTCAACCGGGGAGAAATTAAATACGTTGATTTTATGCAGCTCACGTGCACCTCTTCAGGGTTCAGAACAGCTGCTGGGGTTTTGATTATGTTTGGAAGCAAAGTCAATAAAATGTGATCAAAACACGCAGTTAGAAATATATGAGGTTTTGAGTGAAGGCCGAAAGGTTTTTATTATTTTGTCTTGTTGACCAACTTTTTTTTTCCTGCCGAACTCAACACCAGGACTTTTACATTTACAACATTATGTACTGATTAGACACTAACAACTTAAAATATATGCTCATGGGCCATCACAATGTGTCCCACCAGGAATTCTCCAATTTTGTTTCTAAAAAGTAGAAAATCAGGTTGCATGAATAGCAGCAGGTCAAATGCATCTGTAAGAAACGTCATTTGAATGACATTGAAGCTATGACAGAAAATGTCACAACTACTTACTTGCTTATGCACTGTCTCAAATTTACAGTGGGCAGGTGATTGATGTACACGCTTGAGGGTCTGACACTGAAAAAAATGGAGGAACACCTGTGTGTACTCCGTCGCAAACGCCTTGTACTGACAGTATCTTTGTCGCTGTTGTGAAATTAGACCATTTAGCATGCAAAGTCTGTTGGACGGTTGCCCACATTCCCTTGCTATTACAGTCACCTGATCCATGTTTTACGGAGCAGGCCTGGAAGTGATCCATGTACCTCTTTCCTGTACAGTATTGCAATAAGTTCTACGGTGCATTTGGTGGAATGAATTTTGCGGGTTTGAGTCGCTGTAGGGTTGACCCGGTTAGCTGTTGCGCCGTGGCAAATGGAATCTCAAACGCCACAGAATGGCAAGGTTACTTCAAGAGTCACCAGTCACCATGGCAACAAGGCACAGAGCAGATCTTTTTCAAGCCATATAACAGCCAGTCGTAGCGTATTGATGGTGTCACTTCCTGGAAATTTATACTGTGGTTCATCGTAATGGGAGGCATACGTCAGAGTTATGCAGTCTGCAGTTTGTATTTGTTTTTCTTGCCAAAGTGTAAAGACCTGTTTGATTTACACTCACAATTCTTTGCTGCCGCTGCTTTTTCCTCAGCCTGATGAACTCCTTGTGCTGCCTCGAGACAAAGTTGACCGCTGCGTACTCCAGCAGGGCGGCAAACACAAACAGAAGACACACCGCCATCCAGATGTCAATGGCCTTCACGTAGGACACCTGCACACAAACACACACACGCGGATGCACAAGGTCATGTGGGCTTTATCAATAGGCAATCGATAAGATTGCACGAAGTATCTTTCCCACGTTTTGACACACTTTTCTCGCTTGGCCGAGAATTGTAATGAGTCAGTGGGATTCAAGGGTAGTTGACACATAGCCACGAGACAGGTCACATTTAGGGCTCGGGGAGACCCCCCCGGAAGAGTCGCTCATGAGAGGAGTGTCACCACGCATCAGCAACGGCCACTGAGCACGTGTTGCGACTTGTTTTCATCCAATGGAATGGCACTTTGCTGGCTGTTACAGACACAAATACTGAAGTAGGAACAAAGGAAATGACACCCCCCCATTCTCGCTCAGCTGTTTGATAGACAAATGGGTTTGAATTTAGAATTTCATTTTCAGCGTCGGCAACATGGTCTAGTGGTAAGTTATCATGTTCTCCTCGCGGAGATTCTCATGTCTATGGGTGGAAACCCGGCTCTGGGCTTCCTGCGTGGAGTTTGGCTGCACTGTCTCCACTTCCAGTACATGTATATTAGAGTTTTTGTCCAATCACATTTCATGCTCATGACAATCTAATCTTCCAAGAGCCTTTAGAATTAGGAATGCAGGCTGATGCAATTTCAAGTATGGCAGCAACGGGACCAATGAGATTTCAAATTCATCCTTTTCCATCCATCCTTCCAGGGCCAGCTAACTGGCCCACAATAACATGAACATTATTCCATCCTCCGATTGGTTGTTCGTTTTTTGTCATGTTATTAGGTGAATATTGATTATGAACTGCCTCATATGATGTACGTAGCACACTTGCGTGCTGTTACATTCTTGAAGAGTATTTCTGGTTTGTATAAGTGCAAATTGATCGTGGTGACATGAGGCCATGGATTGAGTGAGGTAAGTCCCATTAGCTTGCTCTGTCTTCCTGATGGTGAACACCAAATAAACGGATACTCGAGATTCCTCAAGCATTTTTTGGATTGTGGGACCTGAATGACTTGAAGAGTCATTTTTCACCCCTAGTTCAACAGTATGTACCCGGCAATTGGCTGTTGACCAGTCCAGGGTGTACCCCACGTCTTGCTCAAAGGCAGCCGGGATCGAGTCCAACTCATTAACAACCCAAATTGGAATAAGTGCCAAAGAAAATGGAATGGACAAAAGTCTTATGAGATGTACTTACTGTACAGAGTGTGTGATAGCTGTTTGACTTCAGAGACGTTTCACCGGTAAAAATAAGAGCCTCTCAATCACCTCCATGCTTGTATAACATTCCAGGGAGTCTGTAAACTCCTTAACTCATCTTTATTAATACTGCATTTTTTATTCATGGCGACCCCCCCCCCCACCTCTAACCCATCCAGGAAAACAGTACTCATTTCTACATAATAAAGCTTGAAGGCAAATAGTATAAATCTATTCGTAAATCAAGTCATAAACTGTTTGTCATAACCTGCCATCCTTAAGGACAAACTTGCCCGTGCTTTTTGCTTTACAATCAAATGAAAAAAGATAATGTTGAAATAAAAGTGTGTGGGCAGCGATTAAATGGAATGGACGTAGTTAGTGCAAATGTAACAAAACAGATGTCTCTATTGTGTTTGTGGTCACAAACGCCGATTGCAGCCGATGGCGTGGAGACAATGTTTTTTCTCCACCATCTGCCACGATACTGGGACACTAGTGATACTTGATGTACTGTGAAGCAGGTTACAATTAGTATAGATTTTGTGATGATGGCTAAAGAACACAAAAAGCACCCGGTGAGAAAGATGACGTGTTGTCCATGAAGCGATCATAATCTCAAATGCAGTCTTTAAGACCCAAACTTGCTTTTTTTTCCCATCTATTGGTAATGATTGGCAGCTTCGAACCCCACGATTCAAAAATCCATGACAAAATAATGTCCCTCCCTAAAAAGTTTATCATTGCCTTTTAAGCACTCCTTTCTCTAAACAAAACTCATGAACTCACTTCGACAAAGTTCCTTACCACCAATATGTCGCAGTATGGTGGCAAAGCACCGCTTTTGTCTTGGTTAAGCTTCCCAATTCATGAGAGACATGGTAACCGCGAGTCCACTGTACTTCCGTAATGATTGGCCTGGACGATTATGGAGAAAATAATAATCACAATTCTTTTAATTGATGATGAAATTAGTCACTGATGATGTAGTGGTACAGTCGCCTGACTTGTGCTCTTGGTTGTCATTGCTCAGTGCTCATCGTCAATTATCCTGTCAATGGAATTTCACGTTAACTTTAGCATTAGCACTAGCAATGCTTCAAAAACAAAGTATATCTTGTATAAACAATGCGTAGCTCTTTTTTTGTGTTTATTTTACAGTAAACTCCAACTGCGGCGCCATGAAACAACTTAAAGCATGGTCAGGGAGGGCAGAATAACATTTGTCACACGCTTTGCTGCACAATGCCTTCCGCGAGCTTTCACAAACTTACAGCTTTCGAACGGACACCGCGGCGTACAGTACATTTCTTGAATTATGTTTGATCATGTATCATCATGAGAAACCAACATCAAAATCACAATTACATTTCTATTAATTGCCCAGTCCTACCCAATGATAACCATAAAAAAGCAAATGATTTCCATCCAGGCTACTTGGTATGATAGGGCCATCTAAAAAAACAAGTTGGCAGTAGTAATAAACAAAGAAGCGCAATTACTTCCTCCCGAACGACCATATTTTGTTATTCTAGTATTTAGTTTTAACAGTGCCTAGTTTTGCCTATCATTATGTCAGTGTCAGACTAGAATAGCTAGTATGTGACCCAACACAACCATGCAATCCATTACATGGTCACAATTCATTATGTGTGTTCGTCCTGAGTTGTTAGCGTAGTCGGTGTAGCCCATGAGCTGGATATTCAGTTGCCATGGTTACTTGCTGCAGTCTCATACCCGAAAACACATTGATCCTCTGGCCAATCAAGCAGAACATGTGTTTGCTTTTCCGGATGACAACAAAACAGCCTGACTTTGCTCTCACGCAGAGGGTAAGACCTCATCTGTTATTGTTGTCCTCACCTGACCTGGGACTTTGTTGCCTCGCACTTTTTCGCCTCAAGCTTTGTCCTACATTCACGCCACGTCACAATTTCATCACCGAATAACCAACCCCCGACTCCAGAGTGCCCCCTTTTTGACATCATTGAAAGACTTTGGAGGACTAGGCCAATCAATCCTTCTCCTGATCCTCACTTAATCAAATGTGAACTCCTGATATTGAGCATCGGTGTTGGGCTTTTCGAGGCTGGGGTATATCAGCTATGACACAAAATAATGGATCATTCTTTGGCAGATGAAAGGTGAGAACAGTCTACAAAGACAGTCACAGGAAAGTGGGTGCGAGACGGCAACTGTCTGAATATAAACCATTCAGATTCTCCACTTGTGCCAAGTATGTGGAATCAATTCCACAAGATTTTTTTTTTTTCCTCTGAAAGTGAGTGAGCATGTTGATGACGGCTCCATTACCGGAGTGTCACCGCAGGAGAATACAGACATGCGGTATTGAAGATGTGAGGACGTCAAAGTTCAGTGTGAGGTCTGACCTAAAATTCCTGTTTTGAAATCAGTTTTGGTTGTACAGTATTCCACTCGCTGCGATGTCAGAAACACACGTTAGCAAGGGTTTAACTTTGTGATGACCACGTGACTGCTTTTTAGATAGGATGGGTAGATAAATTGATATCGATATCTGAATTGACATAATTATACTTAAAAAAAACAGTACGTTTTTTTCATATCTCCCTATTTCTGCAAATGTGTGTGTGTGTGAGAGAGAGAGAGAGAGAGAGGGAGAGAGAGAGAGAGAGAGAGAGAGAGAGAGAGAGAGAGCACGCTATTCTGAATTGAATAAACATATTCCTGCCTCATATACTTTTTTCCAATCATGACTTGGAGGAGATCCAGAGGCACTTTCAAGCTATGGCCGGTGTCCAGCAGCTGAATAACACTGACTCACTCACTGTCTGAACTATCATCATATCAAAGCCAAAAGGTAACAAGAGCTGAATTGATATCTGTAACGCAGATTAGCATTGTATAACAGTATTAGCCTCTGACAAGTGGCATAAAAAGTACTTGATTACTCTCTGAGGTTTTTGACAAAGTGGGGCTCAGGTGATTCGTCTTCCGCTGGAAATTGGATCCGTACAAAAGTGTGGGTAAAACTGTTTTGTCTTAAATGCTGGTATTCTGAGTATAAATTCTCTTTACAGGTGTTTGCTTTTTTCCACACACTGCTTCCATAAACAGAAAATCTGTGTCAATCGCACAATAATACTATAGACAATACGCTTTGGAGTTTTGAGAAATATGATTCTAGCCCCTAGCAAAACGAAGTAAGTATTTATAAGTCCGAAATTGTGGTTAGTTATTTCAATCACAAAACTTATAAAAGGCCGCTAACACAGTACTTCCTCTTGCCTCGCCGTTTATGTCGTCAAAGGGTGAGTGAGTAAGGCATTACTTAAAACACGTTTAACAAAAGCTTTTGTAATGACATAACAAAAAAATATATTGTGAAAACTAAACAGACACAAGTGTAGACAAAGTAATATTTTGTCATGCTAGTTTTTTTTTTTTTAAATCATTTCCCACTGTGAACTCCTCGTAGATATGCCTCACCTTTGGCAGGGAGGCCCGCGAGCCGGAGCTCTGCGTGGTCATGGTGAGCACAGTGGTGATGCCCAGGCCCACCCTGGCGGGGGCGGCGTCCATGTTGATCCAGAAAGACACCCACGAGAGGATGACGATGAGGAGCGAAGGAATGTACATCTGGATCAAGTAGTAGCCCATCTGACGCTCCAGGTGGAACTTCACCTCTATGCAGGTGAATTTACCTGCATTTTACACCACACGGGTATCCCATTACTCATTGTGACAGTTGAATCGATCAAAGGCCTGTTTGGTGTGTTACCTGTGTTGTAATACTTAGTGCAGTAGCCCAAATCCATCTCGTCTTTAAGCACAAACTGGGGCAGGGTGAGGTCGTCGGCTACTTGGACGGGATTCTCAGAAAGCCACTCGAAGATCAGGTCGTTCATGGTGTAGCCGACTGTGGGAGGAGTGGCAAAGAAGGGATTAAATGAGTGGGGAGACAAGATGATCCTCTGGCGTGTTTCCTTCAGGTTGTTTGACACAGTAAATGATAACTGTAAAACAAACAAAAAAAAAATGAATAGTGTTGGATTAATTAATACCTGTCTGACAGTGTCACTCAAAACCAAAACTTAGTTTTTTGATTTCAAAGATGTGAGGGCAACTGAAGATAATCATCCATCCATCCATCCGTTTTCTGATCCGCTTTATCCTCACATGGGTTGCGGGGCATGATGGAGCCTATCCCAGCTGTCTTCGGGCAGTAGGCGGGGGACACTGAACCGGTTGCCAGCCAATTGCAGGGCACACAGAGACAAACAACTATCCGCGCTCACACTCACACGAGAGACAATTTAGAATGTTCAATCAGCCTGCCATGCATGATTTTGGAATGTGGGAGGAAATCGGTGTATCTGGAGAAAACCCACGCAGGCCCGGGTAGAACATGAAAACTCCACACAGGAAGGTCGGAGCCAGTATCGAACCCACGACCTCTGCACTGTGAGGTCGACGCGCTAACCACTGGATCACTGGGCCACCCCGAATATAATAATTTCTCTTTAAAATATATCGACACACGTTTTGCCTTTTATAGGACCAATGCACATCCCAAAATAATGTAAAGCAGTTTTTAAATGCAGCCCCTGAGCCAGTTTAGTCCCGGGGCTCGGTACTCATCCGTATGTACGCGGTAACCCAGTTTTATAGGAGAAGGTTCTCACAAAACACGTCAGATTGACTTGAAATTCTTCACACGTCCAGCTCAATGTACTCTCCAAAAACTTCTTGCACTATCAATGATGGATTTTTGTTTGTGTGTGTGTGTGTGTGTGTGTGTGTGTGTGTGTGTGTGTGTGTGTGGTTGGGGTAAACCTTTGCACCTTTTTCTTTACTTTTTTCTCAATGTCACTCACTCAGCACTGTATATGATGCATGGCACCTCGCTAACTTATTTGTTTAGTCAACTGTTAATGGATTGAAGAGATCTGGTGGAGGCCTGGTCATAACGTAATATCACATTTAATGCTGCGTAGGGAGCAACTTTACAATATGAGGCAAGTCTCCACACACTTAATTAAATCAATCTGAGAGACTGCTATGCCTCTGTCGATGCTGCTGCTTTGGTAGGCAACAGTGTTCAAATGAGTCGAGGAGTTCACTCGAATCCTGTTTGTGAAAGACAGCGTCAATAACCTAATTGAACAACTTGTCCTACCATGTGATGGGAACGGGAGCTGTCTATTTCATGGACCCATTTATTTGTTCACTTATGTGAATGACACATTCCTCACTATCTTTTGTTTTCTCACAATTATCTTATTCTGCTCTAGTCATTGTTGAAATATATAGCAATGTTTTTCTTCCCACCCAAATGGTCAGCTTAACAGACGCCACGTCTGCTTTGTTGGTGACGACATTTACCGTGACACACGCACTCAGAATAAATTGAATTGTAGCCTGGTGTTTTTCTCATTAAATGGATGACGTGCGATGCTTTTACCCCACAAGGACACAATTTCAATCTTTCGTAATTTCTTCCTGTTCGCTTCCCTGATTGAGATGTGAGATCAAACTATGTAGGAGAGACATTTCGACTCATTAGACGCAGGGAATAATGGAAGTGAAGACGGTAGCGCTGGCCTTCTGATGACCTGACCTCTGCCAAGGCGCCTGTCACAGTAAAGGTCACATGGAACAGCAACAACCGTGTTGCCCGCAAAGGTTTTGGAACAGTGAGAAGGCACACGACAAGCATATCGTCTTGTGTGTCAGTGAAAACATACTTGAAGCAATTTAGCGGAATATGTGCCCATAAGTAATTGATGAAAAACACTTTTTTTGCAAGCTTTTGAAATGTCTTGCTAAGTACAAGTCCATTTATAGTGCTCACACATGCAATGTTTTGTATCTGCTCTGTACGTTTTTTTCTCTCTGCTGCCTGATTATACAGTAGATGCATTAAAAATGCATGCCACATTCAACAACAATGCAGAATTCCGAACAGATTTGAATAATACTGATGTCCACCCGGACCCATAAGGCCTCACATTAATTATTCAAGTTGTTCTAGCCTCGCCAGTAGCAACTGGCTGGAAACACAACTCCACTAAAATCCACTTCATCTTGCTCATGAGGGGAATTCTCTGCCATTTACCTGGAGCGTGGCAATGCTTTCTTCCTGAGATAATTAATGATTTTGTTCCCTCTTTCTTTCTTTCGTTCTTTCTTTCTTTCTGTCTGTCTCTCTGCCCCTCTCTCTCTCTCTCTCTCTCTCTCTCTCTCTCTCTCTCTCTCTCTCTCTCTCTCTGTGTCTTTCCAGCTGAGAGGGCTTGGTATGTAATTGTCGTAGCGATCAAGGTGCAATAAAAGCGCTCCCTTAAAGTGACGGGAATACAGAAGATAAAGTAACGAGTGTTTGTCAAAGCAGCTCCCGTTTTCATGTTAAAATGACCCTGAGCTAGTAAACCTTACCATGTGCCTGCGTTACTACACAGAGCAGATTTGTGAGCACTTATGGCTCCAGGGAAGCAGTATTTATATACAGTACTGTATATCGTGTGTGTGTGTGTGTGTGTGTGTGTGTGTGTGTGTGTGTGTGTGTGTGTGTGTGTTTTTCACCCTCCAACATGAAAGCTGCAAGATGAAAAACAAGAAAAACAGTGGCCTTGGATTTGGCAACCCCCTCACACTCCCAAAGGTAAAGTCTGTTATTGTTTTGTTTTGTTTTTTTTCCTTGCCACTCTCTTTCATGTTGCCATGGCGACAGTAGTAGCAGTAAAACCGCCAACATCCTCTCGATGTTCGGCACGAGCCAAGGTGATTCGCCCCTTTTGGGTTTTGTTATCATACATTTTGCCCATTGTGGTTTCACTCACATATAACTGCAACGAGTGCTAACTGTAATGTATTTGTACAATTTGAATGCTTTGTGGACACTCAGAATTTATCAATCTTCATTTTATGATTTAGAACAATTTACCCGCCCCCACTCCCCATACCTTGCATGTGTACAATCATACAAATTCCAATGAAACTGCTTTATGTGTACATACATACCTTACCATGTATGTGTACATACATACATACATACGTACACATATACACACAGTATATTTTTTTCATTTCGTTTTCATTTCTATAATGTCAATGTCAATTATGCGCAGATTTTCACGACTTGTGGGCTGGCCTAGTCCCTGTCCGATGTAAATGGCAGAAGTCCAGTGTATGCGCAAATACAAACATAAATATAGAAGTTACTTTTCATAGACTTTTTCCTGTTTTTGTTTGTGTTCAGTGCTCTAATTTTCTAGATCAATGTTGTTCTTTCTTTAACTTTTCTGTCAATGAGTTCCATTCACATAATGTGACTGCCTTGAAATAAAATGAGTTCAAGAATTTCTGAAGCTAACGCAATACAAGCAAAGCTAAAATTGCTTCGTGCATTTGCTTTAAAAGCACATCTATAGCCCTATGATTACCAGTGAGGGATTAAAGCGTCAACCTATTTGATAATTTATGTTGGCTGCTGCACGTCTGCACAAAATATACTGGATTTTTTTATGATACATTTGAAATAAATGATATTGTCTCCAGTGCAAAGAGGGCACAGCTGGCTCGGAGCAAAACAATACCTTTTGTTTGTGTGCCATTAGATAAGCACACACTGGTAGAGATAGGAGCGCCAAGCTTGAATTGGTTTTGTGTGAGTGTGTGTCAAGACAGGTCAAGTCAAGTACAACTTTATTGTCAAATGTGTGTGTGTGTGTGTGTGTGTGTGTGTGTGTGTGTGTGTGTGTGTGTGTGTGTGTGTGCACGAGTGTGTCTGTGGGGGGCCTGGGGGGGCGTGGGGTTAGTGGCAACAAACACCACCTTTGTCCCTGTGACAAAGGGCCGGGTCACTGCCAGGCACCAAGACAGGGATCAGCTTTCATAATCGCTGCAAAAAAATGAAAGTGTTATTATTTCTACACTGGAAATTGACTCGATGGGGCAAAATCGATCGGTTCCGACGGCACGGGAAGCCCATTTTTTTCTCCCATTGACTTTATCAGTAAAAGATAAACTAGCCTTTTAAAGTGGTTTAATAGACTTAATGCAAAGGAGATGCTTTTTCTCGCATCACAAAACTTAATAAGAAATAGTCAAGACGCAGGGGATGCAATTCGGAAAAGGTCAACGAGGCCTCCATAAATGGATTGATGAATATAACATCAACAACACAATATATTTACTCTTCAGTGGAGATACAGTGTATCCCCAATCTCTCCTAATTGGACACTTCACAGTGTATATGAGGCACAGAGGGAAAAACAGGCAAGACAGCCAAAAGGGTGAGAGGAAGACGAGAAGACGACTCACAGCTCTCAAGCTGCATGGTGCACGTCTGAATGTCCATGGGGAAATTCTTCAAGTCCATGGGGCAGGACAGGATGAGAGTAAGCCTGAGACGGAAAAACAGATTGAAAGTGCAGGAGAGAAAGAACTGCAACGAGCGACAGCAGAAAGCATGAAAAAAAAAACGCAAAGAAATAAGACATAAGGCAGGGAAATGATCAATCGGCATTCGCTTGCATGAATGGAATTTTTCATCACTCTTGTAAAGAGTGGCTGAAAATAATGTCGTTTGGGTCGCAACGTCACACGTTTTTGTCTTTTTTTTCTCGATTACTTAAAAAAGCAATGTCATTGAATCCAGCGGTTAAACCAAACGATTGTTGTAAATAGAGAATATGTTTGTTTGTTTATTTGTTTATTGAACACATAAACAGATATTCGAAATGTGGCAGGAAATAAAGGGAAAATTGAAAAAAAAACCAAGAAAAAAAAGGTCTGGAGATTCTCAGTCATCCATGTCATGGTAATCCTCAAAGATCAATTCTAGGCAACTGGACTTTTTGTTTGCAACAGACCCATACCAATGCATTTCAAACCCGATTACTTTGAGGACAATATCATCCAAATTCTGGAAAGTGAGGACTCTACGTCAAACTTGAAAAGCCGTCTCGAAATAGAGGTGGCGGTTTGAGGCATCACCGATGGTCTGCTTATAAATAGTAAGTGGTCTTTCACCTGTATCACACTTTTCCACCTTTCAGGTGCTCAAAGTGCTTTAACACTGTTTCTTCATTTGCTTACTGATGACGCTGCATCAGGAACAACTGGATATTCACGATCTTGCTCAAGGACACTTTGGCATGGTCGCAAAGGTTGAAGATTGAGTCCACAAACTTTGGGTTGCGAGGCGACAACTCTACCACTGCCCCTTCATAACAATGTCCTGACATCCCTTTCCCCAAAGATTGCCTCATTCCATGAGCAGTCACCCAGTGGGTGAATGTCATGTTGGTATGCAGGACGGTTGTCCACCAGCCACATGAGGCAACAACAACACCATTGTTGTGGGCATATCCATCAGAGGGACAAATAGGGAGACTCCACACCTAACATTTTGAACTGAATGCGTTTTGTATTAAAGGCGAAATGTCTTAAACAAGAAAAGTCTGGTTGTCTTGATTCAACCTTGGTGGATTGTACAGAGACATTTGTGAGACCCCATAAAGGTGGAGTGGCCACAAAATGCATCAGCGGCGGCCTATTTCGAGGTATTGATGGGGAAACAAAGCAGTATTGTAAAGTTTGATAAATATCTGCCGTTACGATTTTTATGTCTAGTCTTGTAAAAATGTATGTGCCAAAATAATCCCCCCGGATATTTTTAATACATGGTGCAATGTTAGAAACAAATGTGATGTCAAGTCATTGACTGGGGCCCGCCAGCTGCTATTGAGTCAGACTGCAGATCGCTGGCCTCGAGATGTAAAATCTATCTTTTCATTTTTTCTTTTCTCTTGGTAGGTAACCCTAATAAGCAGGTGCCGTACAGTTTACATGCATCCAAATACAGTTAAAATAACAAATGAAACATTTTTGTGTACTTTTCATTCCCACAGACCTCAATAACATATCCCATATTGTCTATCTATCGTTCTATCTATCTATCTATCAATCAATCATGTATTTATTTTAACAGAAAGGATGTACCCTGCGTCACAGTGGCAATTTTTTTTATTATCACCTCATCTGACTAACCCATACATATTTTTCCTTCTGACCACCACAGGTACACTGTTAAGGCAACCACGCTTCCAGTATCAAGATGGTGGAGGACATTTTCTCACAGGTATTTATAAATTGCTTGGATGAGTTGTTTGAGTAATTTGGCGAAGTATAACAGCTGCTCACCGACGACAGTGTGCTATCCATTTCAGCGTCAAAAAGAGCATGTCGGTGCCATTCATCGGAGTAAAAGTACAAGTTCATATGGTGTCCAAGGTTGTTCTGGTTCACAAAATTTAATGAAATCAGTAAAACTAAAATTGAAAAACATTTTCATTCATGAAATAAAATAAAAATGGGAGTGCTTAAAAAAAGAAAATTCAGTGAAACTACATTGTAATTGTTTTTTTTTAATATTATTGAAATATCCATAACTTTTCATAATTATTCATTTCATACATGAGCTTTCAAGGTTTATTTCAAATGTATTTATTTCATGAATACTGTTTGGCCATACAGAAGAAGGAAAGTTGACCCGTCGTTCTAGAATTGTAGTTTACTAGACAATACTTACTGTGACCTTTTTTTCGGGATGACCAATTCCAACCTATTATCACTCATGAAAATGATCTCTGATCCAACAATGGGCTTGTTTGTTTGTGTTTAATCCACCCCGAACACTGCAAAACCCCACATATGGACCAGTTATTGCGCTGTGCACCTCTGCTTATTTGTTGTGGAATCAATATGGCGGGAATGCTGGGAGGACAGGGACCAATTTGGGAGCGTGCCGAGAGCAATGTAATTATCTGCCGAGGCGCGCAGGCCAGAGGCGACGCGATTGCTGCAACTGGTAAAATGCTCAGGGGTGGCCATTTGACAGAATGTCTCTGACTCACCTACAAATGATCTCATCTCCTCACATTGTTGCTTGACGTCTATTTAGAGGAGGCACATTCTTTGGTGCCATATCAGAAATCCATCCACTTCCGATGCCGCTCATATTCATTAGGGTCTGAGTGAGCTGGTGTCTGTTCCAGCTGACTTTGTGGCCGCCAAACCATTGCAGGGCACAGGGACAACGACAGGACAGTATATGCTCGCATTCATACCCAAGGACAATTTAAGAGTCTTCAATGAATCTAATATGCATCTTTTTGGAATATGGGAGGCAACCGGAATAGCAGGAGAGAACCCACGGCTGCGGTTTGAGCGGTGAGGCAGATGTATTAACTAAATGGGAAATGGGCGGTTACTTGTATAGTGCTTTTCTACCTTGGGTACGCAAAGCACTCCACACTGTTACCTAATTCACCTACTGGTGGCGCAGCACCAGGAGAAAATGGGGGTTCAGTGTCTTGCTCAAGGACACTTTGACACAAACGACCACTCTACCACTGAGCCATGCAACCCACGTAGCCAGTATTACACTGTGGTGGCCCACATTACAATTTATGGTTTATTAGCAGAGCATACTTCCATTTCTTATACAAAGTTACACTTGTGCCTATTGTTGAATTAAATACTGTAAATATATAACATATTTTAAAACCAAATGGTTCTAAATGATCATATACAAATGTATTGTACTTAAAAGGTAAATACATACTTAGCATGTGTATTGAAGTGAATTTAAAGAAAAAAGCTCCAAGTCACATTATGCAACTTTTGAACATTGAATTCAGTGATTCTTCTGTATATCCCTCAGGGGTATGGTTACCCCAATCACTGTTGCACAGACCAAAAATATTTGCCTATAATATCATGAGGACCGCACGTGTATCTATACGTCTTCATTGAAAAATGAACCCAAAAATTCTCATGTTGTTGATTTTCCTTCCTGGTGTCATATGTCTCATTATGACAGAAAATATGTTCATTCCCATTTATGTTTGTCATCACAGCGGGTCTGGAACCATACTTTGTCTGGTCCCTCACCATGGACTTGTTTACCTTAACGCACCCAGGCAACAAGGCTTCTGGGATCATTTGGACACACAAGCCCCTCCACCACAATCAAGTGACCTCTCATCGAGTGGGCTTCCGAACGTGGAAAGAAAATCAACTGATTATACTGTACTTACTTTGGTACTGTTCCTAATGATTACACTGGACATAAAATGCAGACTTTCTGTTTTACTATATTTATATTTCACCGACTTAGTCATTATTTTAAGACCTATTTCAAGACCAACATTTTATAATCTATAATACACAGAGAGAGAGAGAGAGAGAGAGAGAGAGAGAGAGAGAGAGATAGAGAAAGAGAGAGGGAGAGAGAGAGAGAGAGAGAGAGAGAGAGAGAGAGAGAGAGAGAGAGAGAGAGAGAGAGAGAGAGAGAGAGAGACTGGAGGGCATTCTTTATGATATTATGATATTATCTGCTACCAGAGTGTGAAGTACCGGTAATATTATATGCATTGTGCATGTTGCTGTATTAGAATTTTACACGGATTTTATTTTATTTTTTTTCCCGCGGTTGCCAAGTTGAAGTCTCTCCACACTGTGCTTTAGCAATGTGCAGTTTGTTGTCGATGAACCCGTTCATTGTGTATGTGCTACGAGGGCTTGAGGACGGAACTGTGTCGTGTCACACAAGGTGGGCATTCTCTGCACCGTGACGTTTCCCTCCAATTGAAAAAAAAAATCAATTTGAGAGCATCGTTGCAGTGTCGTCAGTAACCGTGTCTATTAGTTTTGGGGCTAGACCAACTAGCAGGTAAAGCAAAGTATGTGCAGTGTGAAAAGGCCTTTAATTGTGAAATGGTCTCTAAAAATTAGACAATACAATACATATTTGAATGAAAAATATTTCGAGACTATAGAGATAAATCAGTCAAATGAAACACAGTACGTAGGGTCAGGACTGCGGTAAAGCTTGTTTCCATCTGCAAATGCAGAAAAGAACAAAATTACAAATTACCTGATGCTGTACAGAACGCTGCCATCCTGGAAAATCCTGAGTAGCTTGTTGTCAGTGGTGACCTCGTGGAAGTTGGCGCCCTTCTCGTTGGCAAAAAACAAATCGGGCTTCCAGATGGAGTCCAGCATGGACGGATCCAGATCCAGCGAGTCGTCCGGGTATTCGCTGTACGCCAGACGGGGGTCGTTCCATTTTTGGCGTAGGAACACATTAAGCCTGTAGTCCTGTATGGTAGGTGCAGAAGCAATTAGTCACAATTGGTTGCCTGGGCCATGTGAGAAAGAAAAAATAAGTTACTGTTCCCTCATGGACATTAAAGAGTTACAGACCATTTGAGTTTCATTGCTAACCAATGAAGCAGCAATTACCAAGGAGTATAAGCAGTCGCTAACAATATGTGTGTAACACTCAACTGAAATAAAGTATTTACGCAAGTTGCACACTTTCTTGTAACTGTTTTCAGAACTGAGCAATCACATTCAAACTCAAGTTAAATCACACACACACACACACACACACACACACACACACACACACACACACACACACACACACACACACACACACCTGCAAACAAGTGCCTCGGATCAACCCAAAATACATTCCAGCTGGAGAAAACAGCCTGAATCATGAACATGCTTCACTGTAGCTTTATTGTGCTGGTTGGTGACGAGCGGTGTCTTTCCTGCCCGATGTACCTCATGGAATGAAGGCCAAAACGTTCCAACTTCGTTTCAACCTGGGCCACCACTACCCGTTATTTTAATAATAAAATCATCTGGCGATTCTTTTGTAGATTCATGGATGAATCATATATATATATATATAT